CTAATGGTGGCCTTGGTTGTGTACGTATGTGTGGGGCGGAGCTATCAAAATAGGGGCGAGACCCTTTTTGTGTAGGGGCGTGTTTTGGTGATTTCAAATGTCAACATTGGCTACCAGAAATCGCTTACCCCACCTTTAAAGTAACTAAAACTTAAAACTATATAGGCCTATTTAAAAAAACTAGAAATGACAAAAAAACACAACAGAATTACTAACACTTTAAAATTAAAATGAAAGCACAAAATATAAAAATAAAATTTAATTCAAAGTATTAATAAAAATTATAATAGTAAATGCAAAAATAAATAGTACAAATGTAATAGTCGGTGCTACTAAAATAATACAGATCTTTATCCAACTTTTATTTTCAAGTTTCTATTTTTATGTGTAATATCTGTGATTCAAAATAGGCCCAGAGTCGTAACGACCTAAACTGCAGTATGTTAATATTTTATTTGGATATTATTGATTCTGATAATTTTGCACTTTAATTACCAAATAAGTGTGTATTCCCTCAGGAAATATGTTCAACTTCCTGAGGTCCAGAGAAGAAGGGAAGAGGAAAGGAGACAGGCAGAGTACCGCTCCTACCGCCTCAATGCTCAACTCTTTAACAAGGTATTATAAAAAGGTTTTGGAGTAGGAGTTACACACAATAGCCCAGATACAGTGATATTGCCAGCTTTAAAATCAGTATTATTTCAGCAATTTCAGGTATACAAGTGACGAGTTTAATTAACCTTTCTAATGCATGTCTTCTTTCTCCTGCAGAAAGTCACTAATCGTGTGTTGGGAAGGAGAGCACCCTGGCAGTGATCCAGAATCCACCAACATTTCCAAAAGCCTTACTGTTCTTTGAATGTGACAGGTCCTGTGGGTGTTTTATATGGGGTGATATTTTATAATGGTTGTGTCTTTTGCAAGTGTTGTTAGATATATATGTGTGTTCGTATTTTAAGATGTGAGATTTTATATGATTGTGATTGTGTATTATTTATGGAGTTGCAGTGTTGGATTGTTTCATTATGACTATTATAGTCGCAAAATGAATTTTTATTATGTCTGTCTTTGCTAAATTTTAGAACTATTTTTATGAGGTGAATAAATAAGCAGCGATTTGTGAGAGCTTTTGTGTTTGTGTGCTATTTAAGTTGTAAAGCGCAAGTAGGTGAATGCTGATTAACAACAAAAATGGTTCGTATTTAATTTCTGAAATCGTGCATATCCAAAAAGAGAATGAGGCCACAATATAATGGTCATGTTCACTACAAAAAGATAATAGCTTTTTTACTCTAAAATGTACGTTATTACAATATGAAGTACATGTACACAATACATTACTGTAGTGCAGGCATTACATGGAGGGCTGCATTATGTTGATGGATATCAATAAAGAGAATTTTTCATCCGTATTTCAGTTCACATGTTTGATACAACATTCAAAATATTCTAAAACATATTGATTTAGAACTTGTTCTAAAATATTGTTTAAAAACGTGTTCTACTTAAAGATTAAGGATTTTATGGAAAATAAAAAGTTTCCAGCTTGTTACTGTATGGACCGACACATGTGACGTGTGACAGTCTCCATGACAACAGGTGTACACAAACTAATCCTGCAGGAGCAAATCACAAGAAATGCCGATTAAAAAAGGAAAGAAGGGAAAGAAAGCGAAGGGGTGAGTAAAAAACATATTGATCTGCCTGTTTATTTCGATATGCCCTTGCGTTTGGGGAAAAAAACCCGCGAAATCTAACGTTAGTCTTAAGAATTTGAAAAGTAGCCCATATCTGACTGCATAGATTTACTTTATGATTTTGATATTCGCCTTTCTCATAAGTATTTTTTAATCTAGAAAAGGAAAGAAAGACGGCAAGCAAGAGTCAAAACGAGATAAGGAGTCTGATACAGAGAGGGCTAAAGCAAACGCGGCTCTGTGGGAGGCCAGATGTGATCTGACGGAGGGTTCACGCGTGGAGTACCGTGAAACAGCGCGAAGACTGAGCAAAATCAACCAGCAGCTGACTGATCTACAGCACAACACTGAGAAGAACAGCATCGAGATCATCGCTGTTCTGAGAAACAAAGACTTGCTAAACGAGGAGAAGGTGTTTTAATGCATTTGAATGTTAAAGCTACATGACTTGACTAATGCGTGCTAGTTTTTGTCTTTCATATTGTTAAAGGGTTAATTTATCCAACATTGGAAACTCATCGTCTAATGACTCTCAGCGTTACAAACCCTTAAAAGTTTTGTTCATCTTTAAAACACAAATGAAGACGTCTGTCTGTACTTCCACTGAAAGTCCATTAACGTACACCAAAATGTTGATGCTTCCAAAAGTTTATAAAGAGGCCATAAAAGTAATCCATATGAATCAAGCAGTTCAATACAAAAAAGGAGGCACGCATTTCTTTATAAAATAGGTTTAATTTTATATAAACATTGATCAACTAACATATATATGGCACATAAATATTATAAAAGTAAATGCGTCACACTCAAGAACCAATGAGGTACTGTATGTTCTTGCACAAATAAAGTTGAGCCTCCTTTTAGCATATAATGCCCTATGTATGTGAATTGATCAATGTTTATATGTGAATAAAAGCCTAAATTAAAACTGTTCATCATCATATGAATTGATTGTCTCTTTAGAAGACTTGGATTAAACCGCATGATTCATATGGATTAATTTATGATCTCTTGATACATTTTTGGATGTGTCAGCGTTTTGATATAATAGACTTTTAATAGAGGGACTGAATGAAACGTCATTTGTGTTTCGAAGATGACATACAAACGTCTTATGGGTTTTGGAACAACATGGGAGTAAGTAAATGATGACTATTTTCACTTTTGGCGGGTAAAGTAACCCTATAAAATGATGTTTTCTCAGATAATGGCACTGGAACAACAAATACAGCTTGAGAAAACAAGAGCTTCTCAGGCAAAGGAGAATCTAGTAAGAAATGCCTTTCCTCCTATAGAAAAACGGATAAATTCATTCTTTGTTCTCATCATTGTGATTTGAGGTATATTTTGTCAGTTTAATGTGTTAAAACAAAGATGACAGAAAATACATCAATAAAAATTCATAAAATCCTGAAAATACAGTGTTTGAACTCATATAGAATTAAAAGTCATCCATTTAAATGAATAAATAGATAAAGTCATTAATTTTTTTTTTATTCCATCTACACAGCAACTGTATGCAAGTCAAAGATAATGATAATGCCATTTTTGTATAACTAAAAGTTCCTCTTTGTGAATATTAATTTGAACAAAGGCATTTATTTCATTAATAAAGGACAATATATAATAGATAATACTCAATAGATTCATTTTTATAATAAACACAGTTTCTCCAGTCCAGTGTTATTTTTAAAAAGGAACTGATCAGGTCACTCTTGTACTCACTGCCTTAATGCTGACTGCTCAGCGTTTCTCACTGATTGTCATCACAGGCCGCTCAGTACACGCTAAAGATCAATGAGCTGGAGGAGAAGTTTAAGAAGAGATCTAGCGAGTTCGACATGATTCAAGCGGAGCTTAAGATCATCAATGACTTCCTTAAGAAAAAGCCTCAAATGGAGCAAGAACTCAAAAATGTATAATTCATCCTATTTATTTCATGTACACCGATGCAGAGGTACTAGTATAAAGTGCTATGTCTGTTATAACATCACCATCGTTTTGTACAGATGAAAGAAACTATGGACAACGCAGATCTAGAACACAAGAAAACACTTGCAAGAATGGAGCAAAAGTTCTTCAATAATAAGGTACATATACAAACAACATTTCAACAAAATCTTCCTCATTCTCTCTCAGTGTCTCTCTCATTCTACATTCATTAGGTTCATCTAGAGAAGGAAGCTGAGCAAAAGATTGCTGTGCTTGCAGAAAGAGCTCACAATGAAGCCATCATGTAAGTATCTTCTCCATCTCTCCCAGTATCCCAGAACTACTACACATTTCTACCTGATGCCTTTGGAACTGTTTGTGAGATACATTTTGCATGAGTAAAATGAGATGACATCCTCCTTCTTGGCCCTATCAGACAGCTGGATGACGCATCTCGCTCAATGTTCAAGGAGAATGTGCGTCTAAATAAGGCATTGGGTTACCACATCAAAGAGGTGGAGGATGTGCGGAAAAGAAATGCAGCGCTGGCAGAAGAGAACAACATCCTTAGTTTGCATAAGGTAACACACACCATAGTTTTTTTTTTTTCTCTCTCAGTTTTTACTTTTATTTAGCAAGGATGCATAAAATTCATTAGAGGCGACAGTAAAGACTTTTACATTATTACTATTATTTTACATTATTACATTGTATTAGTTGTAAATTATGTATACTATATCAATTAATCATTAAAAATTATAATTACATCAACTTTCTTGTGCACCCACACAAACACACATATACACATGCACAAATTAAGTGAAATTTAAAATGATCTCAATTAGACCCTTGTCTGCTATAAAGCTTGCCTATGAAGGAGCAGACATTGATAATGACCACTTTCATTGGAACCCACAATTTTATTCATCCTGCAGGAGATGAGTCAGGACACCTCAAATGACACCATATCTAAGCTTGCAGCCCAGCGGACCACGGTTTCTGAGCTGAGGGCAAAGGTGTTCACACTGGAGCAGGCCCTGGCCAGCATGGTGGCTGAGTTTGAGTTAGAGAAGGCTGATAACAAGCAGCGTGCTGCAGTCAGGTCTCAGGCTGGTGGTGTAGAGCTGGACAAACTGCAGACGCTTCTGAGCGTACGGGACAGGGAACTGAGCCGAGTGAAGAGAATAGCCCGCAGCGTAGTGGAGCAACGCTCAGACATGGAGGTCCTCTTCCATGAGTCTCTGAACCACGTGAAACAGGAGATGCTAATGCACAGGTGCAATTCAGCGTTCATTCATTCACTCACTCTCTTTGCAAAAACAAACAAAAACACACCTTCACTGCAGCCTATTTGATGAAAGCAGTTTGAATGCACCCAAAATTCAAGATATACAGGGTCATTTCCACACATGACTTTTGTCTTATATTAATATCAAATGATATAGTTAAGCAGTATCACACGAGCAAGAGTGCTGTTTTTCTTGATTATCAGCACGATTGTGAATGTCGTGTTGATTTTATAAAACAGTTCATAAAGAATTGTTAGCATTTTGAGTTACATATTGGACACAATATTGTCTGGTTTTGCTTTATTCTTTTCTTTGAAAATTTCCAAATGAACTACAGCAGAACTGTGTTGTGTCTCCAACAAAGCACATCAGTGTTTCTTTTCTGAATGAATCCACATTTTGAACAAATCTTTTGAATGAATGACTCAATTACTCAACTTGTTCAGACAGTGACTTGCTACCACCTACTGGTGGTTTTAGATTTATATTTAAATGATCGTTTAAAGGGGACATCAGATGCCCATTTTCCACAAGTTGGTATGATTCTTTAGGGTCTTCATGAAAAGTCTATTTTTTTAATTAAAATTTCTCAATGGTAGTGTAAAAACAACACCCTTTTTACCCTGTCAAAAACAGCTCTGTTCACAGCGACCTGTTTAGATGCATTCCTTTTAAATGCTAATAAGCTCTGCTCACCCCGTCCCTCTCTTCCGTGGGGTGATGAGCCGTTTTCATGAGACTGTAAACTTTAGCTGCAGTTAGCTGTGGAACTTGCTAACTAGCACATTATTAGGAAAGGTGATTTGCAAAGATTCATTACAAAACATTATACTCACTTCTTCTGTAGGTGAGGCTGGATCACGAATGATTCGCACGAACATAAACGCACTTAGGTAGATCGGGGGCCGCATTCCCTTCAAAAACAAACGTAATTCACTGCGTCTTCAGCGGCTCAGATGTCAGGAGTAAATGACGACTGCTATGTTCATTATTACATCCAATAACAAAACACCTCAATCGCTTAGGAGCCTTTCTTGTCTACACCTGCTCTGGCGTCAAAACAATGGCGGACTGTTTACAGCTCACTCAGGGCGGGTCAATGCTAAAACAGCAGTGTTCGTCAATAGTCGTGGGAGGGGCCTTGGCCTGTGTGACGTCACTCTGCCAAGAATCTGTGAATGGCTTGATCTGAGACCGTGCTCATGATTTTGGGGGATTTAAAAAAAAGCACTGGGTGGATTTTTATCATTATAGGGTGGTTGTGTACACACTGCCAACACACATTTATGTTCAAACAACATGTAAAAGTTAATTTTGCATCTGATGTCCTCTTTAATTTCATTGCATAGCATATTTATATAATTGTTAATGCAGTGTAAATGCATTCAAGCCACCTATGAGCTGCATTAAACAGTCTGTGTAAATACATCTAAATGCCATTTCAGTTGCAGCTTCTGTGCCAAATAATTTTTTCTCAATATAGTACACCCCTAGTTCGTTCTAGAAATAAAAGTTAACAAGCAAGAGATCCAGGCTCCATTTTACTGCAAAACCTTCAAACTATTTTTAGATCAACTATATTATAAGCTACATTATGTTATCCAGACAGGAAGCCGAAGTGAATCGTAGCAGGCGGATGGATGAGTTCCTATCAGGCAGAACGGAGAACGCTCACATTCACACCATCAACAGAACACCCCACAGCACTTCCAGTGATATAGATGAGGCTGAAAAAGGGTGAGGGTCTTATGCTTATTTTGTTTTTTTTTAGACTATTTTTTAAAATTCTCTTCTGATGAAATGATAACTAAATGTGTCATTACCTGAATTATGCTTTTTCCATTAGCAAAACTGTCTGTGACAATGCTGTGTTATTTCATCAGCAATCTGAAGAAAGCCAAAGTGAACATATCAGAGATGGCCTGGGAGCAAAGAGAGAGAGTTCTCAGACTGCTCTTTGCTAAAATTAATAGCTTGAAATCGAAGTAAGTATTCATTATTATCTTACATATTACCATATTATCATTATTATCTTACAAAGATAAATCATAAATTTGTCACATGATATAATAAAAAAAAAATACATTTAAAACCCCAAGCTTATTTGCACCTCTCAGTTTATGTGTAACAAAAGCAGTTTCATAAATTTCAGGACACTGATTCAAAGGAGTAACTACATTGAGTGATGAGCATATCATCAGTCAGTAGATCTAGAGATCATTAGGATGGCTTTACAACATGACCTCCCAGCACACTGATAGTGCTGCTCATGTCGCACAACTAAATATAGAAGACTATTAATAGCTTCTCATACACACATACAGCAAAACAGCTGCTCAGCGAGCAAGCAAAGACTCCGTACAAACAAACCAAGATCTTCAAATCAAACCCTGACTTTAAAGGACACGTAAAGGTAAGAACTTAAGTTCAGAACTGGTTTATACTACAAATGAACTTGTGTAGACATTCCTCATTATTTTAAGCAGAATGGGAGATTTTCAAAACTTTGAACAAGACTTCTATCAGTCTGGATATTATATGGATGGTCAGCAGGAGGATGTATATGGCTATGATCCAGCCTACGTCAATCCAGACTACCATGAAGTGTGAGTGTAATGTTGCTTTAATATTTCATGTATTAATGTATATCAGCCAATGTGTTTCTGTGGGCAATTTAATTGTTAATTCATAATTTACTGTCTGATCATCAGTGATAGTTCCGCACATTTAGCAGATGAATATACCACTACAGCATCTTATACTGGACAGGTGTATCAGCCTGTAGTGCCACCGGAGCAAACAGAATATATAGACTCATATGAGGAAGAACCACCGCTCTTAGAAGGTAATAAAAATTATTTATTTGATCAGCAGAAAGCTGCTTGGTTAGAAAGTGTGCTGCATACATCACTGCACTAATGATAATAGAACAATGGAAAATATTCATGCAAAAGTTTGCAGATATTTCTGTAATGTGATTGCACCTTAAAGGCATAGTTCCCCCCAAAATGAACATTCTGTCATCATTTACTCGCCCTCAAGAATTTTGGTAACCAAGCAGTTGCCGGTAGCCATTCATTTCCATAGTATGGAAAAAATACTATGAATGCCGATGGCAACATGCAACTGTGTTATGAACATTCTTCAAAATATCCTTTTTTATGTTCAAAAGAAGAAAGAAATTGATACAAGTTTGGAACAACATGAAGGTCAGTGAATGTTGACAAAATTTTCATTTTTGGGTGGACTCTTTAACACTGAAAACTTGCATACTTTAGCTTTAGAAATTGGACATTGTATGCATTAATCAAACTTAACAGAAAATGTATGTTGAATGAAAAATGTGTGTATTTTTTCTCAGAGTTGGGCATTAACTTTGACCATATCTGGCAGAAGACTCTGACCGTGTTAAATCCACTGAAGCCCGCTGATGGCAGTATTATGAATGAGACAGACCTCACTGGGCCTGTTCTCTTCTGCATAGCTCTGGGAGCCACACTATTGATGGTACAAACTACATCCTGAACCTTTGTGAAACCATTAACTAGAGGTACACGGTGATTTGTATTGCACAGGGGAAGTGAAAGCATATGTAAGGTCCAGAGCATGTACCTGTGGATTTGTGTGTGTATTCTCTTGGCAGGCAGGGAAAGCACACTTTGGGTATGTGTATGGCATCAGTGCTCTGGGATGTGTGGGGATGTACATGCTGTTGAACCTGATGAGCAGTTACAGCATATCCTGTGGATGTGTGGCGAGTGTGCTGGGATACTGTCTCCTGCCAATGGTGGGACTCTCTGCCTTTGCTGTTCTTTATTCCCTTCAGTGAGTATCCATAACTGTATAGAAACATTTACCATTTCTTTGAGTGTTTTACAGCCACAACAAATAAAAAACCGTTTTAGACCACAACATATGTCCAAGTCTATTTACATTTTCCATACATTTTTAAACATAAAGGTTCTTAATTGGCATCTGTGGCCCATTCAGACCCATTCACACCAAGAATGATAACTATAACCATAAATATATTAGCATCTTAACCAACGCACTGTGGTACCGTCAGAATGAGAGTTCACAAAGCTGATAAAAGCATCACAATAATCTACAGGTAATCCACATGACTTCAGTCCATCAATCAACATCTTGTGAATTGAAAAGCTGTGTATTTGATAAGAAACAAATCCATTTTAACTTTAAACTGTCCCTTCTAGCCAAATCACGAGTTCATAATCCGTAATAACGAGCCATGTGAATTACTTGTGGATTATTGTGATGCTTTTATCAGCTGTTTGGACTCTCATTCTGATGGCACCCATTCACTGCAAAGGATCCACTGGTGAACAAGTGATGTAATGATACATTTCTCCAAATCTGTTCAGATGAAGAAACGAACATCTTGAATGGCCTGAGTGTGTGTAAATTTGAACCCTAACCCCAACCCCAAATTTTCATTTTTGGGTGAACAATTCCTTTAGATGCTCAAGTTCTTTAATACAGGATGGATTCTGATTGGCTGTTTTTATTATTGTTTTTCAGTGTTCTGAAAGTGATTGTAACCAAATTGTTCTTCTGTGTCATTATCATTATTGTTGTGGCGTGGACTCTGCTATTCCTTTAACTTTAGAACAGTTTTTAAAACTATGTCTTGATTTTTATCGTTATAAATTATCGTGCTTGGTGTGAACGGACCTTTTACATTCACTGAACCTGTTTAATAAAAAGTTCTTTAGTAGAAAATGGTTCTTTAAATTATTCAAATGTTCTTCACACTCATAAAAACATGGTTGTTTAAAGAACTGTTTACTGAAAACTTCTTTGGGGAGCCAAAACTTTAAAAAACCCTTTTTTGGAACCGTATTTTTAAGAGAGTATAATTTTAGGTATGTTGCATTTGAATAACAAGTGGCTTTTATTTTAATGCAGGGGGCTCTTGGGGACACTGTTGGCCTTGTTTGTGATTGGCTGGTGCAGTCTATCAGCTTCTAAGATCTTCAGTTCCACTCTTGACATGAGTGGGCAACAGCTGCTGGTGGCCTATCCCTGCGCTCTTCTGTATGGGGTCTTCGCTCTCCTTACTGTCTTCTGAAATCTCAACTACTATCACTCTAAGATCAGATGAAAATCCAGTTTGCACATAATTCACATTGCTTGTCAAAGTTGTGGCAAATCAAAGTTACTGTACATTTTTATCAGATGAATAAAAAACAAAATGCTGAAAAAACTTGAAGAGCTGGGTTAGCAAAATCATTTCTGATATTGGAATGCATGCATAATCTGATAGTGGATGAATAAAAAATTTATATTCCAAAAATTATTAACAAAAATAAAAAGGTTGGCGTGACTTTTTATTTTATTCTATTGCATTAAAACGTAAGAGATATGTATAAAACTTGATTACAACATGTTATTTTCTAAAAAAAACAAAAAAAAACACATTCATCACAATGAAAGGTCCAAATAAAGAAAAGGCACCTCAAACATAGGCAAAGAGAACATTCTAAGCAACCAGTTGACTTTACAGATCCCTTCAGTTCCTTTTTTCAACAAATGCTTTCGCAAAAAGTGAATATAAAATATATTTACAGAACGGCCGCTGTTCATCACTTTCACACGCTCAAGCCTGTTGCACATCCACCCAGGGTGACGTCCTAATTTGTGACCCAGCATCCTCTGCTGCAGGACATCCAGGGCTGTTTTCAGACAAAATCTCATGGACTTTTAGGCCGGTTCATAATAAGCGAATCCTTTGAAAGACACACATTATAGATTAATGGTGAAATAGTGTGAAACAACCTCTAATATTAACAAGTAACAACTGGCAAGTAACCTTTAGAGTCATAACTATGAACAAAACTGAAATTAACTTGTTATAGAATTAGCAAGATAAATATTTTGCGATTTCTTCAAGAGCAAGTAATATACAGGTTAACTACAGTAACATTACATTGGAAACACTATTTTTATACAAAAAATACATATTCTAGCAGTGAAGTTTGAACATCTAACTGAATTTATAACCAAATTTCTTTAAAACTCTTTGATCTAGAAGTTTCTACACAAATATAAATTATGCCTCACAAGTTTTAATTTAGTTTACATTTTTTTAATAAAGAATGAGTAGGTGTGTCCAAACTTTTTACTGGCTGTAACACTTGGTAACACTTTCACATTGTACTGTAATACTTCTTTATTATCTTATAATGCGTGATACTGTATATATGAAGTGGAGTAATAATTTTCCTATGAATTATGAAACTTTGTTGGGTGCATCTCATGAAAACACCTGGAAATCAAAAGGAAAAATAAATTATAGGCTACTCTGTATAAAATGCCTATATAGTCGTGCTTAATAACTGTCATAGCAACAATGCACAAAGATACAGTCTTTATTTTTCTAAGGATGTTAATGTAACTTATTTCTTGTGATTTTTAGGTGAAATATAACCTGGACATGTTATTCTGTAAGCATAGCCTCTTTCTTACAGCAATTAGTCGGTCATTAATCCTGAATGTCTTAATAAGGGTGATTGAGTTTCTTTTCCCAGCTATTAAAACTCACCCATCCATTCTCCTTTTCTTCTTTTAGGCCTACAGAAAAATCTTTACAGCAGTATAAATATCAATAAATATTTAATATAAATAAGTAATTATATTGCTCCAAATAAAACTTACCCCATACATTTTGGACAGGTTGTTAAACAGCACCTGTCCCGCGCTCACTTTATCCCTCACGCCCCGAATCGTTCCGTTCTTGCTGAAGATGTTCACGCGTTTTCCGGTGAAGAGCTTCTCCTTGGTTGCACTGGCGTACATGAGCAGCTCGTCCGGTTCGCTGCCGCTGTCGTCCGGTTCTGGCCCCAGCTGCAGGCCGCTCAGGTGGCTGTTGGCCTCCGTGATAACGGGCGAGTTTGCTCGCTCCGGCTCTGAGCTCGCAGTGGTGTCGGTGTCCGCGGAGTCTTCGAGCGCGTCTCTGAACACCTCCTTCAGGACGCGGCCGCTGTGCGCCGACGCCACGCGGAACCTCACTCTCCTCTCCGCTCGCTCCTCCTCAGCGCGGGATGTGCGTCGCTCCATTCTGCCGGCAAAGATCTACATTATACAAATTTTGGTTGCCTGAAACTAGAGTGTGCCCCAGGTAAAGTGCATGCCCTGACATTAAAGGTCTTGCCTGAACTTCAGATAAAGGGCTTGTGGCACGAGGGTGTCAATTCGACACCACATGCTTTAATATTTAATAAACGCTGTCCATGGAAACCGTGGAGACCGACTTGTGTTCTCTTATGAATAAAAGATAACTCACGTGTGGCTTAAAGAACATATTGTGTGTGTAAACTAATAACAAAAGCACCTAAAGTGTGAAATATTTTTTTTCCCTATTTTGACGATGCTTTGAATCATTGACTCCAGACAGAGGCCTGTTCAAGTTCATCTGTTAGTAATAGGCATAGTTATCTTGAAATATTAATAGTTTGATACTGATATGAAAATATAAATATCCTGCTTTTTAAATATTAATGTGCACTACCAGTGATAGGGGTAGGAAAAATGGTAGGCTATTATATTTAAAGTAGCCACAAAAAGTACTTGGAAACTTGAAAATGTCACACTTAAAAATACCAGAATAGATACAAAATATTGTATCTGTATTAAGTATTAACTGTATTAAGTATTTGGACATTTAATGTATATTAGGCTATACATACCTACAATGTTTGACCTTTTTTTTTTTTTTTTTTACAGTAACACATTGTCAACACAACACTGTTATTTTTACGAATATTCTTTTGCACCTTTTCATGTAGAATATTTCATCTATGTAATCTAAGATGTCAAACCAAATTATAAATATTAATTCAGCATATTTCCATTATTCATTTCTTTAAAAACGCTGAGGGGAAACTTGAAACTATGCAGAGGTGAGAAGTTCAATCCTAAATCTAAGCAAAACGGGAAGCATTTTGATTGTACTACATAGCCTATTTATATTGAGCGACCATATGTGCTACAGATATTGTTGAAAAAAATTGTTTTGGGATAATTTGGTAACTTTTCCTCATTTTTTCTCTCTATATCAGAAGTGATGTCGAGTTGTCGACCTATGAATTGAGCACTGGACTGCGATGTTGTTACCCAGTGATGGCACTAGATGGCGATGTGTCTTCGAGGCACAGTGCGTTGCTCTTAATAACTTCATAGAGCAAGACAATCCGGAACAACAACACGGAGGAATCTGACGGCGTGGGATCTGAACCAACAGATTATTCAACGCTTGCACAACTGAAATGAACTGTTTTGACGTCTTATGAACTGGAAGAGATTAGTGTCTGCGGCTGGCGAACCAGTATTCTCATACTAATGCAAACTGGTGTGTTCAAGGCATAAATTCATATAATCATATTAGACATAATAACCTCTGAGCAAAATAACAGCCTCTTTTGTATTATCATTCTGTTTTCAGTGCTTAAATCAAATTAAATCCGTTTAAAAATGCAGTGAGCGGTATCGTGAGTTTAGACAAAATGTATTATAACAGCTGACACTCGAATAAGGCATTTCAATACTCCCCAAATCTGAAAATTCTCCAATAGAAAGCTTTAAAAAAAAGTCTTTATAGATGTCATCTGTTGTGAGTTATATACCCTCAAACCGATTATAGTCCAAACCTCTTATATCTGATAATCTGACTGCTGTTCTCATTTTCCACGTGATATTTGTCTGAAATCTCTTCATGTGTTTTGATCAACAGGTTAAGATGTCATTATGGGTGGCACCTTTGGGACGAGGTGTGGACTGCCTGCAGTCTTGCTTTGTCTGGCAGCTCTCCTCTGCGCCAATCTGCTGCTGTATTTCTACCTAGATGCCCTGTATCAGGACACTAACCCTCTCTCAGCACATACGCAGTGCCCGCTTCGCCACTTTAAAGTGGGCACCATGACCACCTGTACCCCTTGGCTTCAGTGCCCCGAAATTCGTGCTGAGGTCCGCCATGTGAAGCTCATTGGACAAGGGGCTGTGAAGAAGGTGAGTTTGGCTGCAACTAATGATTATTATATGTACATCCAAGATGTACAGTGGTGTCCAAAATGATTAAAACACTAGTATTTTCACCAGTTAAAAAATGGTTTTAGGTCAGTTATTTCTATCTTTTGCTGTAGTGTGTCAGTAGGAAATATCACTTTACATACTGTTTCTTGAAGCATCTTGGAGACGTTGCCACAGTTCTTCTGGATTTAGTCTGTCTCAGTTTGTTTTGTTTCTTCATGTCATTCCAGATCAGATCTCTGTGTGGAGCACTGGCTGTTGTCAGACTCCTTATGCAAACAAAGTCTCACTGGATTATTACAATTAATGGCAAAATGAATGTTTGGAAATGTAAACTGATATTTCCTACTGACACACTACAGCAAAAGATAGAAATAACTGACTTAAAAACATTTTTTAGCTGCTGAAAATACTAGTGTTCTAATAATTTTGGCCACCACTGTAGTAGGTGACTTTCCTTCTTCAGTAGATCACTAAATATGATTTTTAGCTTAACCCATGGTCCTTGGTGATTCATAAAATGCAAGACAAGAAACACAAAACTACTACCTGCAGCTCCTGATGATTTATCGCGGTCTTCTGAAGCAAAACGATTGGCCTGTTCAAGAAAATCAACATTATTTATAACATTATTACTTGTAATCGAGTAAATTATAAGGGAACTGTAATACATCTTCTGAGACTTATACTGATGTATGATTGTGTTTTCTAGGTTTATCTGTCCGAGTGGCGAGGGCAGAAGGTGGCGCTCTCCATCTTGTCATCGGAGCAGTATACAGATGATTTCCTCCATGGACTGTCAATGCTACGTGCCTTGCAGAGCGCCCACGTCGTGACGCTTGTAGGGGCGTGTGAAGAGGATGGTGTGTTTGTTACAGAGTATCACCCTCTGGGATCAGCACTGACGCTCGATGCCACCCTCGTGCAAGACCGATATCGCTGGCGAAACTCCTGCCATACTCGACTACAGCTGGCCATAGACTACGTCGCCTTCCTGGCGTACCTGCACAGCAGTCCGGTGGGCATCCGAGTCATGTGTGACTCCAACGACCTGCACAAAACTCTCAGCCAGTTTCTGCTCGCATCCGACATGCGTCTGTTGGCCAACGACCTGGATGCGCTGCCTGAGGTGGAGAGGGGACGTCGAGGGGTGAAGTGCGGTCACCATGAGCTCACCGGGGACTTCGTTGCTCCTGAGCAGTTGTGGCCTTACGGCGAGGATGTGCAGTTCTCAGATGAAGCCATGCCTGGTTACGATGAAAAGACGGACATCTGGAAGATTCCAGATGTGACACGTTTCCTATTGGGGAATGTCCTGGGAAGTGATGTCATCCATTTTCACTTGTTTCAGATCTACACAGAGTGTAAGAGGAAGGAGCCTCACATGCGGCCGACGGCGCTTGAGGTCCTCAGTGTGTATCGCTCTGTCTACGACAGCATGATAGAGAGTCAATCACAGAGAGTTAGAGATATGTTGTAGAGCATAATGGTCATTAAAGGGATAGTTCAACCAAAAATGAAAATTCTGTTCTCATTTACTCCAAACCTGTATGACTTTCTTTCTTCTGTGGAACATAAGAAGATAAGAAGATATTTTGAGAAATGTCCTTATAATGTAAGTCAGTAGTGGTCACCAAAACTGTTTGGTCACAAACATTCTTCTAAATATCGTTTCTGTGTTCCACAGAAGTCAGTCAGTACAGGTTTGGAGTAAATGAGAACAGAATTTTCATTTTTGTGTGAACTATCCCCTTAAGATAGCATTGCAGTTCAATGGGTTTTGTCATACTACATTAAAGAATATGCAGCAAATGTATGACAGCAACATCCAGCAGAGGATGAGATGCAGCATCTCAGGGCTTCAGATCTGAATCCAGCTTCAAATTCTTACTTATGCTGAGTCTGACTAAGACATTTTGTATAACTATACCTCATAGAAGTTCTTTTCAGTTAAGTGAATAGAGCTTACCTTACTGATGCAGTGATTGAATATGTGGCGTAAGTGTGGATCTTATTTTAATATTAATAAGATATTGATTATCATTCTTAAAACGAACCTGCTTTTTGTTCTCTTTCAGTATTTGGAAGCCTTTAATAAATAATTTTCCCAAGAACACTGATTGTGTTGTCAGTATAGTATGAGAGGCGCTTTAGAAACGCTGCTTCTTGAAGCTTTGAAACACTGATCTTTTGTTTCGAATCAGTGGTTTTGACATGATTGCAGAACATATGCTATGGATTCGAAACATTCCACAAAATTCAGATGTTTCGCTGCTAGATGGTGTTGATCTGGTGAACCCATGAACTAATGGTGATCTTGGATTATAACAAAGTCCATTTAAAAAAGTCTATAGTCTTTGGTCATAATGTATAGAGCCAAGGCTAGTCATGGACAGGGTGAGCTGAGCCCACCCAATCAGTACTTAGGCAAAGGCAGCGGTAATATTTATTCATTAATTTATTTATTATACGATTTGTGCATGAAAACAATCTGAGCTCCACCGAAAATCACGATGTTACTGTCTCGTACAGGCGCATTTATCAGATATGAGCGACTTTGTGACAAGCCCACAAGCACTTCTGATAGGAAGCATGTATTTTAATCTGGCTTGGCACATATTGGTGTATTTATGGTACATATTTAAATTTAACACATTCAAAAAAATATAAAGTCTTTTTAAGTTAGAAATACTTTTTATATATATATATATATATATATATAGTCTAAAAAGTCTTAAAACAAACAAAGAAAGCAATCAAAGCTGTGTCACTATCCAGTTCGCTTTTAATTTATGCAGAGAAGGAACCGGAAATACGTAGTCTGTTGTATCCGCACACATCCGCAGCACACTTGTGTATGTATTAATGGATGTTTAAGCGGTTTCTGCATACGTTGCAAGACGGCCTGGCTCGTAGGTCCAGTGCCTGTCCGCAAGCCGCAGGAGGGTGAGTTTGGGTGAGCCTCAAAACGGAGCCGCCAGCAACATTCGTGCAACAATGAGCTCGGGACAGCCGAGCGACAGCGAGGAGCCGCGCGCAGATCCGCTGCGCGAGGAGGAGAGCGATGAAGACAGGTGCTCCAACAGAACATCCTCTCCGCGGGCGGGCCGCGGAGGCGCCGGGACGCAGGGCAGCTGGAGACTCGAGGCGGCCGCGGACGGCGGGACAGGCTCGGGGGGCAGGGGCTCGAGCGCCTGCGACTCTCTGTTCGCGTGGATTTGCAGGAGGACAGTCCGCAGGGGGCCGTTTGTAGACCCCGCGCGGGATCATTACCGTACCATGACACGGCTTTATTCGTCCATGAGCCCGGCTACGGATTCGGTGAACCTCAGTACACAAACCCACGGAGCTGTCTTCAACTTGGAGTACTCGCCAGACGGGTAAGTGTTGTCCCGTTGTCTCTTCAGTTATGTGCACTTTTGACTACTTGGCATTAAAACAAATCTACTTTTTACGATTATTTCCAAATGCATTCTTTGTTAAAACATTCATATGTGCTGGAATAAATGCAAACTTTCAATGGAACACTTTGCATTAACTTGCTGATACCGTGAGTTAGCTAGCAGTCAAGTAGTTTTAAATGCATAAAAATCAAGAAAGAAATCAGTTCGTTTCAGGGGGGAAAAATTAAATACTGGTTGAATTGGTAATGACAACCACTCTAAAGTCATGGGGAAAACACACAAATGAATGACATTTCTGGGCCCGTATTCACAAAACATTTTATCTTACCACTAAGAGTTCTCCTAAATAGCAGTAAAAGTTTTTAGCAAAGAGTTTTCTCTTAAAACCTATTCACAAAGCTGCTGAGACAAACTTTTACTAAGGAATAGAGAGAAGTCTTAAGCTAAGAGTAAGGGGGTGGGGTTGACCTCCTTGCTATGGATGATGTCAGCATGCTTACTAACTATGCACACAGTGATTGGCTGATAGTGTCTGTCAGAGATTTATTCATAGAAATATTTTAGAGTAAAGATAAAGGTTTAAAAATAAAAATGTTGCCACATTCAAATAAAGATTTTAAAATGCAGGCTAAGAGTCACTAATTAAACAAGTATGTGTTCAGCAGCTAATTGTCAGCCTCTTACATGTATGCTTCTCATAATTAGTGAATATGCATATAAACAGCCTTTTAATTAACAGAGTAGAATAATCATGACTGATAGTAAGACATACAGACGTAAAAGAAAACTAAACTGGGCACAAGCACAGCTGTTACTTCTTGCCCAGCTGGTTAATGAAAACAAGGACATAATCAAAGGAAAATTTGGAGTTGGGATAATCTTCAAAACCGAAGGTGATACCTTTTATAAAAGCTCATTATCGTCAAATATTTCTAAAATGTTTACGTTCCGAGGCAGATTGCCAGCAACAGCCATTTTAGGATAGTTTGTGACTTAGGAGACCTCTTCACTACTCCTAACTTTTCACAGATTTAGGAGCTAATTTTAGCGCTAAAATGCTATGTGAAATACGTTTAGATCAAAAATTTAGGAGTCCTACATTTAGGACTGACACGCCCATTATTTTTAAGATTTTCTCCTAAATCTACTTTTAGCCTTAAGATGTTTTGTGAATACGGGCCCTGGGCTCTGTGAAGAATTTCAGTCAGGTTTCAGGCCCCATCATAGCACAGAAACTGCACTTGT